CACCCCCTCCCCGGCTCCCGGCAGGGATGGAGAAGAATAACTTCTTTTTCTGAACTTTTTTTTTTTTTCCCTATAGGAAATACATACGACAGATCCATTACAGTTGACGGAGAAGAAGCTTCTCTGGTGGTGTTTGATATATGGGAGCAGGTACTTTCAGATTTAAGATATTTTTTCTTTATGGCTTGGTCAGTGGTTCACTCAAAAAAAAGTAGAAATGGAACAACTATGTCTGCCTATTTCCTTGATCAAATCAGAAACGTTAAAAAAATGACATTAAAAAATGAGACTTCATAGTGCCTTTGTTTTCTCCTGCAATTAATTTCTTGTAGCTAGGCAGGCAATTTAAAAACCTGAATAGGGCTGGAGCGTGAATCCCTTAATACTTTGAATAAGCAGCAGCTCACATGAGCAGCCCAGGGAATTACTGTAAAATTAGAGGTTCACAATCTGATCAGTGCAGACCTGATATTATTTCTGGAAACAAGAGAATTTTGTTTTGTAATACATTTTAAATAACAAAAATCTTAAAAAAAAAAAAAAGAGGTTGGCTTACTCTTACTGACTCTTTATAATAAAGCTAAGAAAAATATCTTTAAGGTGCTTACAATAATTAATCATTAATCAGTATTGAATAGATTTTTCAGTGCAATAAATCTGTTTCTTGCCTTTTCTTTTAGGATGACAGCCAATGGCTTCAGAACCACTGTATGAAAATGGGAGATGCCTATATTATTGTATATTCAGTGACAGACAAAGTTAGTTTTGAAAAGGCCTCTGAGCTAAGAATCCAGCTAAGAAGAGCAAGGCAAACAGAAGACATTCCTATTATTCTTGTGGGCAATAAAAGTGACCTGGTCAGGTCCCGGGAAGTCTCAGTCGATGGTAAGAGACACTATTAATTTATACAGAAACGCATAAATTAGTAGCAAAGGCTATGGAGCATCATGGTCAGTAGAAATGGTCTGGTTTTGATGTACAAAAATGTGTGATTTGGGGCACATTGAAGAAGTCATGCCAGCTGGCTTGTGCTGAGGGACTTGGTACCACAGAGAACAGTGGAGATGGTGGTGGGAGAAGATTTGTGACTGTGCAGAGCAATGCTCTGAGCTGCAGTACTAGAGAAAGAAGAGCTTCAGAGCTGCAGCTTTAGCACACTGTTTTGTGCAGGATTCATTTCTGGTCAGTATTGACTGAAGGGTTTAATCCTGTGTTCTGTGTGCAGCAGCACTTGCTAGTCTCAAGATTTGATAGCCTGAGCTATGCTTTTTGAGGGACAGGAGTGCCATGTTGTAGAACCCAGGCAGCCTTTGAAAAGGCTGATCCCATACAGCCTGTACAATCATCTTTCTTCTGGAAGTGATTCCATCACATTTGAGTTGAGCTGGTGAGACCAGTCCCGCACAGCTTAAAGTCTTTCTGTATATGCTCTGCAGTTGTGATCAGTGAGAATTTCCTCAGCTAGTTCCAGCTAGCATTTCCCTACCTAGAGCACAGTAACCACTGCCAACAACACAATGTTAATTTCATTTATTTAAACATTTGGTGGGTTTGGTTTTTTGGGTTTTGGTTTTTTGTTTGTTTGGTTGGGTTTTTTTTCCACTCTGAAATATCAGTGCCTTGATGACGATGAACTATCTCTTGCTGTCTAGTTTTACCATATTCCCTGTGTTAAATGTCTGCACAAGGAATTGACTGGAGTTCATCAGGAGATTATAATTTTTTTATGGCTGATGGCAGTGCATGGTTGATCTGTCCTAGTGATGGCATCAGGACTTTGCTCAGGTTTACAACTTTGCCATTATTTACCATGAGTTAAACATGGAAATTTGCACTGCAGCAGTGTTCCAGAGTTCCATGCTTATGTCTGGAACATTGAGCATCTTGCATTTTGAGTGGAGTCCTGGTCAAATCCAGTGGTGTACAACTGCATGACCTCAACTGATCTGTTCAATGACCTGACCTTGTGGACTGTATCAGCTTCATTTATAACAAGGCAGAGGTGCTTAATTGCTCAATTACTTCCAGAAGAAATAAAAACTATTTCTTTCTGTACCTCACATTCTTTCCTGTCAAAGAGCAAGCATGCATCCAAGTGCCTCTCCTATATCAGCTTTAGCTCTTAATACTGGGATGTTCAGTCTGCCTACAGCACTATCGTTGCCTTGTTTGCAATACCATTGCTCAAATGAGATTTCTGACCATACCACAACAAAACCAAGAGAAGTAAGGGGGCAGAACCATGAGTGCAAATTTGCACTTTCCTACCGTGTAGTAAAGCTCTTTTGTGGCATCGAAAGCATTTTCCTTATTTAAAGTAAATTTTTCTTTTGTTTTTCTGCCAATATACATGAAGAGAAAATGTCCCTCTACACTCATCTCTTTTTTTCCTCCTTCCATCCAGAGGGACGGGCCTGTGCGGTTGTGTTTGACTGCAAATTCATCGAGACCTCAGCTGCTCTTCATCATAATGTCAAGGACCTGTTTGAAGGTATTGTCCGGCAAATTAGACTTCGCAAAGACAGCAAAGAAGACAATGCTAGGAGAATGGCCAACACGAAAAGAAGAGAAAGCATAGGCAAAAAGGCAAAGCGATTCCTTGGGAGAATTGTGGCAAAGAACAATAAGAAGATGGCTTTCAAAGCAAAATCAAAGTCTTGCCATGACTTATCTGTGCTTTAAAAGATTTCAGCAAGGCCCGATGTTGCACGTGGGTGATGAGCAAGCATTTGACTGTTACGAGAAATGTGTGGATGATCCTCATGGTGATAACAAGAATGACTTATCAATTGAGACTCTCATTAATGCCTTAAGGTGCACAAGCAAGACTGGAAGTTACACTACAATATCTGCTTCATTGGTAAATGGTTTCAGTTTCAATGTGTGCAAGTAAATGAACTAACTTTAAATAAGTGGCTTGACATGCCCACATTTTCACTGTATACGTATGTTATATATCCTCTTGTCCTGTGGATACCGGAGATGTAAAGATAAGAAAGGATGATAAGTATCACCATAGACTTGTCTTGTTTGCAGAGCAAAACTTGAACTTGTACGCAGGCTCGTACACTCTTTTTAGTATAAAGCAAGCAATGATAAATCTTTTTAAACTTAAATGGGGAGGGGGAGTAGAACCACATTAGAATGGGAGAAAACAAATTATATATATATAATTAAATACAAAACAGATATCATTTTATGAAGTTAATTTGCACTTCCATTAACTGTTATTCAATTAATTTGTTACTTGTTTACATGCAGATTTTATAATAAAGTATTATTTCCTGTTATAATAAACTGTTCTTTTCTTACGGATAAAAAGTGAGAGAGCAGTATTTTTATACTGACCTTTTTTCACTGTACAAAACCTTCTACACAGACTGTGCAGATTTACACGTGATAAAGTTCTGGAACAAGATGAATCAGGAATATTCTGTGTCCTTTTCTTTAATAGACAGTTTCTTTAAGAAGTAAACTCTGCTTTTGTGAACACTCTGCTTCAACAGCTCATATTGGGAAGAGTTGCCTTAACCCTTCTTACCATTGTTAATCTTCAACCTGGTTCTCTTGTCAGCTCTGGCAGGAACAGGCTTCTGTATAATGCCTTTAGTTGGGTAGATGTCTTCTATCTGTACTGATAAATTGAAGCCTGCAGTGTTCTACATTTTAAGTCCTCTCCTGTCTTGAAGGTCTTGTGTTTCAGCCAACAAGCAAATGTGGGGTTTGGTCGGTTTTTTGTTGTTGTTGGTTTTATTGTTTGTTTGGGTTTTTTTGTTTGGTTTGGTTTTAATTTTCTTTTCTGGGAGCAGTATAATTTTCTAATCTACTCACAAGCCTGGAGATACCTTCCAGTGGTTTCTAGAAGTTCAAAGCAGGCTGGCAAGGCCATTCGAAAGAATTGTAGGCTTCACTTGTGGTGTATGGTGGCCTTCAGTGCTGTTAAAGCTTTCATGTTCATTTTACTGTTCTACTTAATGTATTTCCATTATTTTTCCCTAACTGATATTCATGAAGTTAAAAAGCAATCGTGTCTCAGTGAAAAATGTGGACTTACTGCCTTTGTTTTAAAAATTCCTCTTCATAGGATACATTATTTTTAAATTTGTTCATGAACTCACTTCTCAAAAACAATAAAACATATGCTCTTCTGTCTCTTCCTACTCTCCCTGCCTAAGTCCAGTTCTTTAGACAGATTGTGCCAGCTGCCTAGGAGCTCTGTTTGTCCATTATTTTATAGGGACTCACCTTTCCCACACGGCAGGGAAATTGCATCAGCTGTTATATGTTACATGTTACATTGAGCTTCCCTGAACTGGAATGAACAACTCTGCATTGGCTTAGCCCAGTACTTGGGCATTCATCAGTGGATGGTACTGGGGGAAATGGCATCTGATTTGTGTAGGTAATGCTCTGTAGATTTAGTATCTCCTGATGTGCTGCTGGTGGACCTAACTGGTCAGAGGCACAGTTTAGCATATGTTGCTGGTAACAGGTCACATTTCTTATGAAGAGAGGTATTTACTTTTTGTCCTGAGTGAAGTCTAAAGTGAATAAGTCTGTCTTGCTGCCAAAGCTCACATTTACCAGATGATACCTTTTAATTGGATTTGGCTTTTTTCACTAGCTTTGCTTTCTGGCAAAATATTATCACTGGAACATCTAACCACTGTCAGAGTATGGCACCAGGAGTCTATTTACATGGAAGCTTTGGACTGTCAACACCAAAACAATCGCGCTAGTCCTGAAAACTCTACAGTGAGAGTGTCCAAATCCATGTGCATAAATTCGGCACATACCTATTCATGCACATGCTAAAGTTACTGACAGAACTACATACTGTTCTGTGAACATTTGCAAAGCTTCTGTCTTTTCGTTGCCCCGTGCTTTCAGAATGACTGGGAGAAGACTGACATGTTTCATTGACTCATGCGATTTAATTCTGTCCATAATAAATACAAGGAATGGGATGCAAACCCAGAATTTAAGATATGACATTCCACAAAGTGCAAAATTTTAGAAAGTTGTGTCACTCTTAATGCTGCAACATAACTGCAGTTGCAAAGCCTCTTCAAGGTCATGGTTAACAGCTGTGCTTTTGGGCACTGTGTCCTACAAATCAGATGTTTTACTGTGTTCATGAATTCAAAGGTTGTGTTTGGACAGCTCTTCAGCCTAAAATAATTCTGAGGTGCTCTAGCACATTGCTAGAGGTTCATTTAAACTGTGGAAAATAATTTGTATTTTGAAAGTGTGTCAAATAGGACACTGTGAGACAATAAACTGCGAATCACTCTAAAGAAACTTAGGCTAATCTATAATGTACATTTAGTTAATATTGTACAATAAAACACTTATTCAAATCCTCATTATACTATTTTTTTCATTCATTCGTTTGTACAAGAATTAGCGTAATTCAGCCATGGTTCAAGAAAAGGGGGAGGGTTTGTTGCTATTGCAACTCTGATAGTAACCTGCTCTAGACCAAGATCATATTCTATGCTATAAAAATATTACCATGAATGCTGTTTTTCAGGGATTTTGTAGCTCCTGGAAGATTTTCCACCCAGGAAAAAAAATTCTTGGATGTCATTTAGTGGAAGTTCCAAGCAGACTTTTTTGAAGTACATGTGCAAAACCAGCTAGGAGTCAGTAGCAGGCACCTAATTGACAAATACCTCTAAAAATCAACCATCTTCAAAAAAGGTTATTTGTATCCTCAAGCATTTGAAAGTCACCTACAGTTTTTGTAATTTGAGATGTTCTATTGGTATGGTTACCCAGATTCTTGTCATTAATGGGGTGAATCTACGTCATGTGAAAAATAGTGAGTCCCAGACACCAGTATTTTCTCTAGTTATTGCCCGAGTAGAAGAGTGTAAGGGGCAAGAGTGGTGTGAGTATTCTTATTTTTTGCCAAGGTACATCAGTTTTAATTTGGAGGCACAGTTCACATATTTAACCTTTACTGCCTTCACTGCTGCTGCCAGATGAAGTTCCTATTACTGCTAATTGTGGTGGTGGATTTTGTGTTGGCACAAATCCATTTGGAACAGCTAGTTATTAACAACTACAGTGGAAGGACGTTGCCTTTTATGTGTGACACATATGTTAGGTAAACAAACCAAAGCCTCCTCTGCTTGCTATTGCTAAACTAGCTCCTGTAAATTCTTCATCATATGAAAAATGTGAAGAAAATCATTCCTCCATCTGCCAAAACCACAAAGTGTAAAGTTATGTCACATAATTATAGATGAAATGTTAACTGCTGAGGGGAGACTTAGCATCACCAAAAACCTATCTTTACTCAGATGTGTTTTCTCAAAATAAGACTAAAAAAAACCATGGCATGATCTACAATAGGAAAGTATAGTGAGCTGACAGTGATTAAGAATTCAGTGTGTGATAAAAGATTGCTAAGATGTAGTCTAAAAAAAGTGGAGCAATACTTAATTATATTGTGCTGAAATTTGCTGTATTACTCTTATTCAGAGACAATGTACAGACATCTCACTGAATCTGCAGTCGCAGTGAAAGGTGATGTCTGTGCATTTCACAGGACCACCATTTAATTTATAATTTACCACATGATCTCTAACATTATAATGGACAATCTGACACCCTCTTTGCATAAAGGAACACCTGAACTCCAATACTATTAAGGTTATTAATTTCTAAAAACTGATATAGTAAATTATGTCATCTGCCCCTGTGCTCTGTGACTTGGATGTTGAACACAGAAGTAAAAGATAAAAAGAGAATAAAGGACCATTGCTTATGTTCCAATAAGATTTCTCCAACCCGCTGTTCAGAATGCAAGGGGGAACAACACTGTTTAACTTAAGAATGTACTAAGGATTCTAGCACCAGCACGTAGGAAACAGGCTAAGAAATTTACTTCAGCACTGAGTTCTTCACCAACAAAATAATATTAATTATGTACCACAAAAATGTTCTGGCAACTGGGTGAAATGGGCCACGTATGTTCTAAAGACTGTCCCCTCTCTTGCTTTTTTTTCCCTATTTATAAATGTGCTATTTGGATGAATCATTGGAAACCAATTAGGAGCCAATAGAATTTTTCCTAATACTTCCCATATTTATCACAAGAGCTAAAGAAATATTAATTTGAACTAAAATTTAGCAGATTCAGAGACTGAGATAAATAGAATACATTTGAAGATACTAATTTTCGCACCCTTCTAAAAAAGCTTCTCCAAGGTCCGAAACAGGGGCTTGAGAAAGGACACAATGTGGAGAGCAAGTGCTCCTGCTCAGAATAGTCTAGTCAGACCCACAAAAACTTCCTCTGTTTGTTCCTGTCAGTAAGTCCTGCTTTCATCAGCCTTGCTGCACTAGCACAACTGACTACACTACTGTTAGGCTTGCAGTCCCGTTGAAGGTTGTGACCCTTACTTTGAGAACAGTTCAGTAGTTTTCAGTTTTCAGTTCAGTAGATGCTTTGGCAGAGCAGCAATTTTTGTCACGTCTAAATTGGATTACTGTAATGCATTATGCTTAACAAAGAGCTTTCAGGAGCTCCAGGTAGTAGGAAACACGGCCACGTTAATTAAGCTGGCTAGGTCAAAACGAGCACATAACTTCTGTGCTCAGGCTTGGGTCCCCATACATTCTTAGGTGAAGTGATGATAGAGAAAATCTGTAAACCACGTTGGGCATGACTAATGTTGAAAATGCTTCACTTTGTTGCATGTTTCTTAGCTGGCTACAAAACTTGGTGAACTCGCTGTAAGGTCGAGTTACTTGATTTTGGACTGCTCAACAAGAACAATCATTGCATTTCTAATTGCAGGTATTCAGGTGTCTTATTACCGGCATTCAGGCCACAACAGTTCAGTGCATTTGACGCTGCAATGGTAACTACAACAGATTACGCCCTATTTATTACTTTTTCAGATCAAGGATGCAAAAAGCATAAAGCAACAGAAATATGTCTTAACTGAACTAGAACACAGGGTGAATTTTAAAACTATGCCAACTTGCAGCAACTCCACTTCATTACAGGCCTGCCATTGGAATTTATTGAGGTGTGTTCACCAATCTTCTTCAATGAAAAGAATAATGTAACTCTCTTTGGCTATTAGCCAGGTGCCAAACAACTTTCTCACAGATTTTTCAGCTATGAGTATCTCAGTTGTAGGGCTTCTTTGTCACACGCTTTTCATGTCAACTTCAATTTTATCTTTCCAACCTCCATTGTTACACATTGTCACCCTTGCAGCAGTGCCTCAGCAGTACGCTGGGAACGGGAAAGTGGCACTCCTCTGCTGCTGCATGAC